CCTCCTCTTATACCCTAGTTGTATCGATCTTAACTTGGAACTTGATTGATCACGAACTATAGCACAAGCAACTTTACTAACAATACGTCTGAGAGTATTGCTACATGCTATCGGACGTCAATGAAACACCACAGAATATCGGCAGAATTGATCTCGGTAAATTGCCTTCCAGAACGGCATCTGCACAGTTGGTGTTGGAGCGGAATTAGCAATGTTATTAAATGTGAAAGGTGTCTTGGTCTTACACAATCAATTCCTCCACAAGAACTTCTAAGGAAACTGGAAAGAGCTTTCTTTGTGGTTATATAGGATGTTAAACGGAGATCAATAAGAACGTCGCCAAGGAATTGGAGGATAATTTGCCTCACTGTGCATTCATGGGTTGGTGTTTAGATTCAAGCGCATCCCATATTTCGGGGCAATATTTAGCTATAACTTCTGAGGAGCAGAGAACATCACCTTCAGAAAGCTTAAGAGTTACTCGTTTACAAAACTTGACAAATTCATGAAAGAAATCTTTTTTTTTATTTAAGTGGAGGAAGCCGACATCGTTTTGTTGAAAGTGCAACAAATTTCGCCACTTGCTGCATTATCTTCTTTATTTAAGTCCAAAAAGCTTCCATTGACAAGGTCAACAGTAGAAAAAGGATCAGGCTGAGAAACCGCTGAACCTACTCGTTTAGTAGTTCAGTATGCTTTTTGGTGTAATGTTACTCAAATAGTGACCTATAGTCGCAAATGGAGGAAATCCAACTTTGTGAGTGATATCAGTGGTCCGACATTCGAGCCTTAATGAATAAGTAGTAGCTGACTTGTCTTTCATCAACGGAAAAGCACTTTTCTAAAAGATTATTGCTTGAAAACCTGTCAAAAGTAAAAAAATTCATTAAAGCGCTTGTGAGCAAGAGGAGAAGAGTGCACTTGGAAATTTGTTTTGTCGATTTTAATAGCTCTTATGGGCAAACATGAAATAATTTTTAATTTCTGATCGAATGACACCCATACCAAGTGTACAAGACTGTAACAGCCAGACAGACAGATATAAAAGGAGCGCAAAAGTGCACTTTTTATTTTTTGAAAGTTAAAGTGCACTAAAAATTACGCTACTATCAGTATATTAAGAGGTACACGAGACACACTACCACAAAATAATAGTCTGGGCTCTAACATTCATAGGAAGTCGGCTTGTTTTAAATTGACCTAAAAATAAATAATGTAGCCTGCGGAACTCTGGCAGAAGTGATAAAAATTGGCTACTGTAGCTCTTACCCTTTTACCCTACTCAAAAATTAAAAAAATAATTGGCCTATCTTCACTTTTCGTAATCATAGCTAACTTTACCATTATATTGGGAAGGTTGATTCGACCCTTTAGTCTATATATCTGCAAAATCTGTCTGTGTAGAGAGGTGTTTTTTTTACATGTTTATTCAAAAGTTTTTGAGCCCTAGCTTGTGATTTATAAAAAATACACCCTTTACTTAGCGCAAAGACATGATTCTTAACCACAATGAGTTTCTTCGTTTAAAGTTATTGGTATTGATCTTATTCCTAATCCTAGAATAACTCTCAATGTCTAATCTCTTAAACGCCGAATTGATGGATTTGGTCTGTTAGAATATCGTCTGGAGTATGCCAAAATTAAAATTTATGCTCATGACGTACCTAACTTATCAATCTCTATAATTGAATAGTTTACCCTAACTAACTGCATTAAGCATAATGTTTCTCCCATTTAATGGATAATTATGATCCACCTCCTATAAATAGAGCAATATTAGGCACGTGCATTTCACTTGACGGTTACAATCACCACCCTTCACCCTAAAAGTAATTTTCAAACCCTAAACAGATAACTTAATTCCATAAATGATTATAACAAGAAGGGTGGCACGTGAAGCATTCAGCATAATGTAATTATAATCGAGTGGCGGAAAAAGGCACTTACCGAAATATCACATTCTGAGATCACTCGAGAACAATCGGCGGGCTGTACTGTGTTACAAGATGATCTTTTGTGGCTCGTATTTAATTCCACCTTAAATCCACCAGCGGGTTCGTCATTTTCTAACACCGCCGTTAGGTATGCTATATAGGATGTGGCCAGTCGCAACGTCTTAATCTAAAAGTAACCCTGCAAACCAATTTTAAAAAATCACCTAGTCTTACTTTTGATAATTTTGTATCGGCGGGAACGTTTGGTATACAATCCCGTAAATCTGCATATGCATTATTAATTGACTGCGTTCTTCGTCGCTCTTTCTTATTTGCCGTCGTCCGTCTTTTGACAACACGAACATACGGCACCGTGGTTATTTGCCGTACCGAATCTTCGGAACGTGAAGAATTTATGTTACATCCTAAAACAATTATTGTAAAATACTATACAAAATGGCCATGATGTAAACCAGAACGGTACGCCGATTGGCAAACGTCTCCAGAGCTAAAACTAATGCTGGCATATGTGTTGAATGGATTCCTTCCAACAATAAGACTTGGCGATGGAGTATCAGAACGAGGACTATTACTTGTCCAATAACTTGACTCGTCTCCTCCGCACAGTCCATTACCATCTACGAGATTTCAAGATTTAAGAAAAAAAGTTTCATACAAAATAACGGACAGGGATACAATCAAGTGGAATTCACCAGCGAGCTCGGTAGGGCAACTTCACTAGCTGTCTATCGTATTTATTTTTGAGAAAGTTAATACTTGGTATATCTACCCTCGAGAGTTAATATTGGGCACATGGTTAAAACGTCAAAATTGAATAAATATGTATTTAAAGACTATATTTTAGTTAATGTTAGTTTACATTTGAAAGTCGTTTATTTATAGTGTCATTTTACACAAGTATTTTCATTTGATCCATTGAACTTAACATTACACTTACATATGATACGACTTAAAAAATGTTTATCTGTGTAGAAACTGCTTAAACATTTTATAACCGTTCAGCAATAGCTACTAAAATTAAATTGGAAATGGTAACATTTTGGAACGCAGTCTTTAGTTCAGTTATGTATAATAGGCTACAAGCACTCGCCAATCAATGAATTTGGATCCAACAGCAGGTTTCTAAAATCAAAATGTTCATGTTCATCCAAAATATACGTCTGTATGAATGCGTCATCATGGCTTTAGTAAAACGTTGTGACTCAAAACATAATTATTGAATGTTTTCAAGACAATTTTAAGAAAATACAAAGTTTTGACAAAAACACCCAAATACTTCAGAATACAGTTACTAGACTTAAGCGTCACGTGTAGTGTCTACCAATCGCTTCAGGAATTCGTGCGAGGTCTCAGGGAAAGACATTTAGACATGATAGGCAGCGTTCCGAGTGCAATTGGAGAATAAATCACTGAGCTCAACAGAGAAGATTATTATATCTTAAGTGACAGGTAGGTTGAAGTACACTTTAGCTTTGGATTTGGAACAACTTGTTACCAATTCCAAACCTTCGGCTAATATAATCACGGAGACGACAAATTACCCAGTGGAACTAAGAAACTGCATGATGGGTCAGAGCCTGAAATGCACACGACAATTAACCTTGACCAACGATCCATTGAACCAGTATCACCAGCCGAACTAGCCAGAGCGCAACAATCTTAATCCTGGCTACGACCTTATCACAGGTGACGTACTAAAACAACGCGGCACTTTCCCGGCAATTGGAAGGTGTCGAAAGTCATAATGTTGCCAAAATCCGGGAAACACCCAAGGAACATCAAGTCACACATACCAGTATCGTTGACTCTTCCGGTGATCTCGATGCTAATCGAAAAAATACGATTGAGACTCGATGAAAAAGAATAATACCGAATTACCAATTCGAATTTCGTAGTTGGTTAGGGTTGGTGGAGTAGCCCTGACTTGATGAATGCTTTTAATATGGTTGATCGGAAATGATACGATAAGTTTTAGAAATTTTACCATTATATTACCACTTTTTGAATCTTTATTATGGGTCCGAGGAAGTCAGAAGTGTTCAACTAGGCGATCCTCTGCGTCCCTCGCTATTTTGCATGGTAATTTAGGATATGATAACAACGTTACTCTCGGAACTTAATATATGGTTCTTGGATAATGGTGCTTTGGCTGGTGATGACGAAGTCGTCCATTATTAAGAAATCTATAGAATTTGGTTTGTAACTCAATTTTAGCTAACGTGAATTGTCTTTCTTTTGTGCTGAAGATGATTGTATCTCCATCGCACAAATTTTACAGCAATTTGAATCAGTTGCGCCTGAAATTAAATTGATAAAGTCTACCAACACAAGTCCGCTTGGATGTCTTCAATGACCAGGGAATATCTTCATCTATTGGAAAACCTAGTCTCGAACTGCAAAGAGTTTATCATTCAACGAAAAATCCTGGTTCAAGCAACTCTCCCAGTTATACATGGAAGCCTTTTGCTAGAAAATGCCTTTAGTGTTGGTAGTGCATTAATGACTAAATCAATATTTCTGGTTTCTATTTCAACAGTTACCGCTCAACACCAACTAACACCTCAGTAAAATTTGCTTCGTCTTATAATTTTATGTGTGGGGAATAATATAGTTGTAGGTGTTTAGTTTGAAACCTGTGTCTGCGTTTACCTAGACCTCTACGACTGATTCAAAGGTCCATGTTCACTTCGTCATCTATTCCGGTAATCGTGGTATTTGTATTGATTTTTTAATTACGGTGGCCTTTAGTATGATCTTGGCTCTCTTCGCAAGGAAATAGGTGTGGTGAGAGTTTTGGACCTAAGCTGATCACAGCAACCACTAAGTGCTTATTGATGCGAAATAACTAATAAACAATCTGTTCATTTGTCAAACCCAATAATGCCTGTTTGTACCAATCTACAAATTAAAAATCTTTAGCGTAACCCTTCACTTTAAGCAACAGACTACACAAGCGAAGCATTTTATGTTTAAAGTCGAATATGAATAGGTACCGTTTTATAGTTGCTATAAATGTCAGACAAATCTTAAACACTAATAAAACATGTAGCTTTAATAAATGTAAACATGATACGTCATTTCGGTTCAAATCTTTGGCAGAGCTGATTTGATAAAAACTGGGGAAAGTTTGAGGAGAACTCGGTGGAGAATTGAAGAATACGTGAAAAAGATGGAAGCTGAAGAAGTTCAAGGAGGCTTAAAGCGAACTCATTTGAGGGGAATTTAAAGTATTAAAGGTGAATCTTACCTTTTTAAACATATTTAAATTAAAAATTAATTTGAAACCTTTTTTCGTTGGTCGCTAAAGATAAATCTTCACGTATAACAGAAATGACAATATGAAACTTAACTTAAATAAGATGAGGCAAAATTCGATTGCTTGAGGAAATAATTAGGATTACCAACTCATTTATGAATCACTGCTACTATATTAATTGTTCAAACTTGAATATCCAAGCATAACCAAATCTATAATGAAAGTCCCTTATCATGAAGAAACGTTTCTTTCGTGCGTCGCTTCCCTGACTACCGCTGTTACACCTGAAAAATCGCTATATGAGGAATTATGGGAAGTGGGCGATACATGTGGTAAATACGGCGAATGTGGACGATCCAATAATAGTAGTTATTTACATAAAAGTCAGGAAAGTGACACATTACTGGCGAAGAAATATTTAATTTCCGAGTCCGAGTCCGAGTCAGGTATGTCGATGTTTACTGACGAGTTTTGTATTAAATTCTACCCGAAACCGTATTTTATAAATAATATAAAATTTCAATTTTCATATAGAACTTTTGATTGATGTCAATCTGTCAGTGATGACAGGAGTCATTATAGACATTTGGCAGTGTCATAAATGCGGCCGGTAAAGTGACAGATGCGGCCAGTAAAGTGACAAGCGGCAGGAAACGCACTCTGCTCTGCCCTCTGTCATGGAAACTAAAATTTCCTAATTCCTGACAGAAAGTATAGGCATGAAAATAGAGTGTGCTTATGTGAACACTGGTACTCCGAAGAAGAAGTAGCATCTTTTGTTCTCGATAACCGTAGACTAGCATTCTTATACTTTTTGCAGGAACTGAGTCGTGGTGATGGTGCAGCAATTTTTGTAAGAAAAGGTTTTAATGTGCATTCTCTACAAATATTTTTTCATACACGCATAGATATGACATTATTTATAATCATTAATCAACTTGAAAAAATTCCGTACATATATTTAAATTTGCAAGTTCTCTCTACCAAAGCGCGTTTTTAAACATTCAACAATTTGTTTGATTAACAAACCAAACCAACTATGTACTGGCATCTAAGTTTTGTCGAGTGAAACGAAAACGTGGTGGAGTATGCATTTTTCGGCAACCCTCAGTGGATTGTGAGAGTATCTCTTTAAATCAGTTCTGCTCTGAACTGAATGCTGAATTCTGTGGTATTATTATCCCTAAAATTAAAGTAGTAGTTATTACATTATATAGATCTCCTAGTGGCGATCCGAAAATATTTTTAGATAATTTAGAGAAAGTGTTGGTTCATTGTTATAAAAAGTCTAATTTAATTATATTAGCAGGAGATTTTAATATTAATTTTTCAAGTAAATCGGGTCTTTTAGAGGACCTAACATCCGTCGTTATGTCATTTGGATTAAACATTTTGATAAAAGATTACACTAGAGTGACCGCTAACTCAGCTACCTGCCTTGATAACATTCTTTGGAATTTTCCAGATAACTATTTGGATTCAGTTCAATCTGGGGTAACTGACCCTTGTTTGTCAGACCATAGAGGTCAATACTTGAAATTTAAAACTCGGAATTTTATAAACCCATTACCCTGTACGCTTAGGACATATTCTACAGATAGCAGAAATAATTTTAAACGTGACTTGCTTAATATTAATTGGGATGTTGATAGTGACACTGGTAAGAACTCCAACTCTCTGTCAAACAACTTGGTACACACCTTTCAGTCATTAATTTCAGTCCATTTTCCTTTACGCACCAGAAAAATAAACAATATGAAACCGCCGATTTTTTGGTTCAATAAAAAATTAAAAGACATGCGAAACACCCTCGATTGTATTAAAACAATTTGTGATGTAGATAAATCCTACAATGTGTACAAGGTTTTTAAAAAGGAGTATCGCAGGGCAATTAATAATGAAAAAAAGAAAACTTATGACAAATTTTTAAACAATTCAGATAATAAGGTTAAAGATGCTTGGAGATTAGTTAATTTTGAAAGAAGCAAATCCAACTCTAACAAAAATCATTTGCCATTTTCTGCTGAAAATTTTAATAATTATTTTGTTAACACGGTCAGTCAAATTACAGAAAACTTGCGTAAGCCAGGCCTCAGATCATCTGCAATCATTAAACAATTAAAAACTTCAAGATGTTCCTTTTTCTTACAGCCTATTACCAAATGTGACGTCCTTCAAGCTGTTAGTAAGTTAAAGAAATCCCGCTGTTCGGATTATTATGGCGTCAATGCAATTATAGTTAAAGAAACTATTGATATTTACGCGGAATATTTGGCGACTCTTTTTAACTTGTGCATTACAGAAGGCAACTACCCTGAGGTATTTAAAATTAGCGTTGTGGTACCGTTATTTAAAAAAGGTGAAATTTGCAACTTAAACAACTACAGACCGATTACCATTATTCCTATATTTTCAAAAATCTTCGAAATTATTCTAAATGAAAGGCTGTATAACTACTTTAACAATCATACACTATTAAGTCCCGCTCAATATGGTTTCCGTAAAAGCTGCTCTACCACTCAAGCAGTTTCCAAAATCATATCTATTATAATTAACTCTTTTGAAAAGGGTGAACATGCATCTTTAATAAAATCTTTAATATTATGCGACTTGTCCAAAGCTTTTGACTGTGTTTCTTTCAATATTTTACTTCATAAATTAGAAATGTATGGTATTAAGAGGCCTTGCAAAAACTTTTTTCTCATCATACCTTCAGGACAGAAAGCAATGTGTTGTGGCTAATGGTACCTATTCCAAATTGCTAACCACACAACAAGGTGTACCGCAAGGTTCAATTTTAGGGCCCCTACTTTTCATCATTTATATAAATGACTTTTTTGAATATATTCAACTTAACGAATGCATTGCTTATGCTGACGACACATCTTTAATAGTCACCGATAAAGACCACAAGATACTAACCACCAAGAGCCATAACTCGTTGCAACTTGCTCATGATTGGTTTGCGCACCATAATTTAAAACTAAATAATGAAAAAACACAAGTAATTACGTTTTCTTCTAACCCTAAGTTTACATCAGGAAAATGCGCTAAAGTTCTAGGAATTTATGTAGACGACCGTTTAAATTGGATCAATCACATTGACTACCTAGTTAGTAAATTAGCAAAGGCCACGTTTGTTCTAAGGAACTTAAAAAAATGTATTAACACCACCACCCTTCAGGCATGTTATTTTGCACTATTTCACTCTCATTTAATGTATGGTGTTAACCTATAAGTAATTCCTCTAAAGCAAAAAAAGTGTTTTCAATGCAAAAGAAATTCGTCAAGATGTTAGCCAATGAACATTATAGAGAACACGGTCAAAGTATTTTTTGTAAATTTCAAATCATGCCTCTTCCATCTATATTCATTTATTGTGCACTTCTAGAATTACACAAAAAGCAATCCTCGGTACTGACAAATGGCAGCACTCATAAATACAACACTAGAAAGGCTAACGATATGCGAACCCCTTACTTCAGGCTTTCCAAGTCTAAAAAGTATTACTATCAAGTGAAACTTTATAATATTCTCCCTAGTAATGTCAGGGACTCGACATTTTATTGTTTTAAAAATCGTGTAAGGAAACATATACTAAGTCATTGTTTTTATTGTGTAGATGAATATTTAAATACTCCATTTTCTCCTTAGCTCTAGTCATTATAGTATTGTATTCTACTTACAACTTTGATCTTTGACTGTGATATTTTATTACTGTACATTTGTTGGTTATTTACATATTCATTGTTATTATATTTATTTTTGTGTATTTATGTGATGTTAGATTTTAATAGTTTACGATATAGGTACATTTTATCTTGTTATTACTGTTACCACACATTGTAATCGACGAGTCCTATATCCAATAAGCGATCATTCGGACTAATAAATAAATTATTAATTAAATTATTAATTAAATTAAATTAAGATTAAATTAAATAAATGTATTTAATAAATTATTACCAAGCGTTTTTTTTTCCGAATGTACAGTTTCCTTTGGTGAGAGAATTAGCCATCGGGGATTACAAACACTTTAATGGTAATTATTCCCAAATACAGTGTAATGTAAAAAAATGTACTATTAAGATTCGATTATTTATTATGATCGTTAATTCGCGGATTTGTTGTAGAAGGCGGTTTCTTTGGAGGAAATGAAATGTTGGACATCAAAATGTTGTACTTCCGTTCGCAAAGCAACGAAATATTTCGAATCAGTCGGCCTTCCCACAGTTAAGTGAACGTGTTTTGCATTCCACTAAATTTAGTTTATAACGTACTTAATTTTGGATTTTCCGCAACGCAAAATATTACGGTGAAAATTATTATTAAAGAAAAATTCGCCGACGGTGATACTATTAAAATCGTCTGTGTACGATAGATAATAAAGAGATTCGGCTTAATGACTACGGTTATCGCTTTTATCAGTAAATCCATTTCCCCACGTATTTTCCACCACTCCAATTCGATGATGCACGGAAAGGAACACACGCGGACGCGTCGAAAATGTGTATGCGCGACTTTGTGCGGAGCGCACATGTCTGGTGTGGTTAGTTGTTTTTCAGTGTTCGCAGTGGGAGCCTGTCAGCAGCGGACCGTCAAATCTTTGACTCGCGTGACATTTGGCAGTATTTGTTTTATGTTGCATTTACATTTTCTTGTCTAAAGTGGAATGTTATTAAAAATGGATAACGGCACGACAGGGCGCGCATCTGCTGTGCCTGGTATCTTGGATTCACCTACGCTCGCAAGAGTTGAACGCGCGATGTTGCGGCACGAAGAAGGTGTTCAACGAGAAACGGCGATTCTTCAAAGGCAAGCCTTTACGCAGGTAATTAACACCTTTTTGTTTCAAGTTTATTGTAAAAAATGTTTGTTTTTCGCCCCACATTGTACTGTAAAATGGCATTTCAAAACAAAGCAGAATCTCAAGACACTAAACTGTTGCAAAAAGTATTGATGGATTGGGGTTTACTCGCGTTAATCTCGATCTCCCCTTGAAATTTTTTCTCATTGCTGCATTGCATTTACTTCCATCAATATCTGTCAAGGATCAGTAACAGTTATCTGTTACATAAATCCAAGATTAATCATAACTGTTATTGAACCAAGCTGAAGGTATATATGAAATTATTTCCTTTTATGTTGGAAACGAGAATTACAACATTGTACACCTGATCTTGTATTCTGCAATAAGAAAGTTGTTTTGCAACTACAGGATTTCTATTGATTAATGCGAGTATGTAAAATTTCAAGCGTGTTCACATTAATTAGCGTTAACGCCCAAATAAGCGATTAAACTAAACATTACAACAAGACAATTAGTCACGCATTTTAAGCAGTGCAGTATGGTAAAAAAGATCCCTCAAAATAATTAGAACGTGTCTATAATGAAAGAAAAAGTTAAAAGTAGCGCACCGCATTGAGAATCGATATTAAGACCATTTTGTTTATTTGTAAAATACTATTTATCGATAATCTATGCCCCGGTCACAATAGGTCGATGGGAATTGAGCCAAGTCAAGTATAACTACGAATTTTTGCATTGCCCTGACAACTTTTAACTAATTTACCCATAATAACGAGATATCTGTACAAATTTTGTATGATACAGCGGCTCTTATGTGCATTTAGTGATTTCCGGTGGAACGATTGCGGATTGGTACTTGGAAATCCGATGATTGGGAGGCAAAAGTTACTCATAGATTTTGAAAATGTTCCCTCTATAAAAAATTATGTAATGCCTCAGTGTAATGATTAGCTCTTATCATTGCATGTCAGTGATGAGGAATACTACTACATTTTAATATGGTCTCTTTTGGAAGCAACAAACACATCTCAAACTTGCAATATATGTCTTGTAAGAGCGAGTTTTCTGAACAATTTTAAAAATGGGAAGTAGTGACATTGTATATGCACTTATAGAGTTGGCACCAATGCCTTTAAACATCATCACTCGATCAAACACAAATATTTGATGTGCCAGAAAGAAAAACTTATAGCCACGACAAGAGACATTTAAAGACTAGTTTTTTTTAATTCGTAATTTTTGGGGTTTCATTTTTATTTGCTTTTGCCTGTGGATCTTGTAAACATAACCAATAAAAGTCATCAAAATATTTGAACAAATTTGAGAAGGGATTTCGTTTATATATTTTAGAACAATCAACTAAATATTTCATGTACCGGAAGAATATACAACCCTGGCCATAAATAATTTTCATGTAAGGGCGGGATTTCGTTAATATTAAAACGGGACAGGATCTATCACTGAATGTCATTAAATGCGAGTTTTCTTTTAAAAAAATTGTAATTTTGGATTCTGTAAATACAATCAATCAACACAACCAAACCAAACAAAACCACAGGAAATACAACCTATGCAAAAAAAGGTATCTAACTAAAAAGTGTTTTGCTTGAATGAATTTTTGGAACTGTGTTCTTTGGAAAAATCAATATTTTAAGTTCGAATCTAGTTTTCTAAACCGCCCCAAAATCCCTTCAACCAAATAATGAGAAGCTTAGAACGGCAGTTCAGGTCAACTAATTTTAAAATTCAATTTACAACAATGCCACTTTGAGGTAGGTGGATTTCTTTTAGGTTTGCTTTACCTCATTCATCTTAAATGGGTTTGTTTATTTTACTCGTTCGAGGTACATACCTCTAGTAATTGTTTATTAATCACGAATACAATAGCTTTCACTTTAATTGTCAACCATTACAATAATACTTACCTACAGTTTTTACGGTCCGATAAAATCGTAAATTATTAACAAGGTTTAATCTATCAATCAATATTTTATTGAATGCCATCTTTCTTCAGATTTCTACAATAATAAACTCCTACACGTGCCAACGTACATAAATCAATGTACTAATAATCTGTTTAGAATTACCTAATTTGTTGGTAGCAGTTAGGAATTAATTAATCTCGACAATAACTTAATTTAATGACGAATATGTTTAATTAAACGAAAATTTGTTTGTTTGATATGTGACACTCTCAAATAAGAGTAAAAGCGCGGTTTGGAATTGTCCCCCGCCTTTCTAAATAAAATTTAAATTACTATTGTTAATTGCGAAGAGGCGGGTGCATGTAGTGTTAAACGTTTTATTCATTTATGGCCTCTATAATTTGTTGAGCGAGCGTATTCTGTAGTGTGTTTTAAGTATTTAATAAATGTTGCCTACGCATTTATATGCTTAGAGCCAAATGACACCGTTTTGCTTTTTCGTTTACTAAGAATTTGGCAATTTTAAGTTTGCACAGATTCCGCACAAAGCAATTTCCTTCCCCTAAACAGCGTTGAATATCTATCTATGTGGTAATATTTGGAATACATACTCTTGTAATTGCAGAACGTAATGTAAATGGGGCGATATTGTCTCTCTGCGGTAGACGTGGTACAATTTCAGTTCGTAATTAGCGGCGCTAAATTTCATGCTAAACAAGGTATTAAATTCCTACTAAACCAACCTTAATATAGAAAATAAACGATACACGCCGCCCTTTCTTAAATTTATATCGAGAATATTTTGGATTCCATTTTGGCCAAATTTAAGCCCTAGTAATTAGCATAAATCCACAAACTTGACTATATTCGCTCGAAATATGAAATTATTATTTTAAGTAGGGTTTAGATGGTATCTCATAATGAATGCAGTTTTTAATAAAAAAATTTTAATCCTGCAGAGCTTAATGAAATTGTATTTTAGCTGATGCTTCATAAATTCAGTCATTTAACGAAATACATTGAATTAATTTGTTGTAGCGGTACGCTTAGTCATCTGTATGAATGGAATATTATAATTTTCTGCTTGGATTCAAAATGTCGGTGAATATTGAGTCTAAATGAGTTGACTGACAGCAGCAGACAGTCTTTGTCTTTGACGAAATTTGCTGTTTTGTCCGGTTTATTTGTTCTTTATTTTCAGACAATAATTTTTGATTCGTTGATTCGAGTACGCTAAATTTGGAATTAGGGAAGTCTCAATAGGAACAATTGTGATCCTTAGTTTATTTAATAAAAAAAGTTTCCTTAATGATGGCAAAAGGTTTGATATCAAAGTTTCTCATTTTTATAGGACAAACTAAAAAATAATGTCCGAATGCAATTCAAGTTGGCGGTTACTGAATTGATAGCAACACTATGTTGACTTTTGACTTCTTTTTTTTGTTGTTAAAAAATAAAAACCACCTACTTATTCAATATTGCGCCAATTAATTAAAAATGAAACGAAAAACGAAAAATAATAAAAGTATAGAATGGACTAAGGAATACTTAATTATTAAAATGATTTGAATAGTACAGTGCCTCGCCTTATTTCATTAGGTTGGAAAAATAATTAATTCTGCTAGCATTGTTTGCTCCATCGTAGGATGTTACATTGTCCATAAGAACCACCATCAATTAATCAATAACAAACTCAACATAAATTAAATTTTTTAATGCCTTTTCAATAAAAACATTCGGAACAAAAGGGGAAAAGGCCAAAAAAAATGTAAGAGCAAAGTGTTCACGATGTACAGCGATACAATTTTACATTCATCTCGATCGACATGCACACACACGGACACAAGTCGCCATTCGTGTCTCCCGTCACGCTCATGCTGACTTTGATGCCACAACACGCGGGACACAGGCAAATTTCTCCTGATTTTTTAGGTACAAGTACGATTGGACTACTATATGGGGAGTTAATAATAATAATAATAATTTTTTAAAATAATAATAATATAAAAAAAATAAGATAAATGGCGGGGACGAAAAGCTATCGGCTGCTCATGCTTCACTATAATGTTCATCTGAAAGTTTGATTGAATTTTGGTTCAAAAATCACCCACAACATACAATTTCTTTTGCTTCACGTCTGTTTTCTTGGCACCATGTCACCAAAATTAACATTGATTTGTGGTGAACTAATAAAATCCCTACCTAAAAGTGCACTGCAATGCATTGTCTCATCCAAGGTGAACACGTTTTCGCTTCAGTACTGTATTTGTTATATACAGGGCCGGATTTTCATGTCATCTGATAGGGGTACTCTCCTATATGAATATTTGTTTCTCTGGGAACAAATTGTCAAATAGAGTTAACGGTAATATGAAAAGCCGGCAATTAATGTCAGTACACATGTTTTCTTAAACATTAACTAAACGGCGAAGTTGGTTGTGGAAACGGCGCCTATTGTTAGGTGCGAGATATAAAATAATAGTGTGGATGAAGTCATTTACACCATCGTCTGATGGATTAATCTTCGTTTTGCTTGCGGATGCAGGACTACCAAAAAAGTAGGCCAATAAGTGGAAGGTCTTGTTTTCATCAGAAATTTAAAAAATATACATTAGTATTAATTTGGCGTATTTGTAAATAAATATAATGAATGAAAAATAATAAGAAAATAAACCGTAATATGCAAACGACAATAGATTTAACAGACATGAATAAAATTGGATGAGCATACCTACATCCGTTATGGTTATTATCGCACTTACGATATATGCGTTACTGTTGTTTACGGTACTTTTAACTAAACAAAAAGCGTATAATCAGGCACAATGAATCGAAACTTTCTTTTAAAAAATCATAAATCAATGTAACTTGAAAAAAAATACCTACACTTAGATTCTCGAAACTTTACATAATGTCATTTGCACGAAAGTAAACCTAATGTGATCCTATACTTTCATTTTTTCACTTTTTATTATAATTTGTCTAAAAAGGCTTCTTACTGCGTCGACTTCTTTCCATTTTATAGAAATATTGCATGCATTTATTACACGCGGTAGAAGTCAAGGAAATACTACACTTTGCCATTCTCATGAATCA